GTTTTTGAGCTTTCACTGACAATACTTATTAAAGATAATTTTAAGCGTGAAAACTTCCTTTATTTGGTTGTCATGATATGTAAATTAAAAATTATTATTTTACGGTGATAATCTTGTTTTCTTGTGCCCAATAATGCATAATTTCATTTGATAAACACGTTTAGATTGAATGGTAATTTATAATCAGTCACAAGAACGTCGAATCTGAATCACTTGAAAAAAACACGGGGGTGCTTAACTTTTTTCCAGGTGTATATTATTTTTCCTTTTTTAAAAATATCTCATCTTTGAGCACGTGGATTTAAAGCCAAAGAAAGTTGAGGCATAACAAGCCTAAACCATAGCAAACTCACTTCAACACTGAAATCATTTTTTCAATAAAAATTGTATTCTGGTAGAATTAATAAAATCTTTAAGTATATTAAATTGATGAAAACTTTACTTGCTGAAGTAGTTTGTCATGTGACTTCTGTAATTCCCTTTGTTAGTTATTTCTCCTAATGTTTCTGATTTTTTGTCCATTTTAATTGTAAAAAACAAACATACCACTAATTTAATTGGCAAAAAAGTAATGTTTTAAACCAGAGAATAAATTGTATATGTTTTGTTGTATATGAAGAAAAAATAAAAGTACTTTAAACTCTATTCCAAGGCAATTCAGTAAGCAAGCTATTTAACCAAATCATGATTAGTGAGAACCTTTCTGGTGTCCGGTTCACATCTGCACATCATTGTTTTAAAGATATAGTTACAAATTATAATTCTAACTATTTCAGCAGTTTCGAACTCAGAAATATTTTAGAATTGACATTTTTCATTTTGTAACATTTATTGAATGTAATTTACAAAGAAAAACATTCCAATTTTCATTTCTGTGCAGCTATAAGGAGTCTTGCATGTAAATAACTCTGTTATCATGAATATAATGATTTGTGTATTGTTTCTCACTTTATCTAGTTTCTCTATTAGTGGTTTTATTTATACTTCCCTTCATTGCCACTCTTATGATGTCACATGTGGTCTGAACAATTAATAATGAAGTTCAGCTTTGAAAACATTGGTAGGCAACATTTAAATACAATTGGATGGAGCAAATTATAAAGTATTTACATCAGTTTAGAGTAAATACAGTGATTTTAGTGTTAAATGTCAGGAAAAATATGTTCCTGCCTGAAATAAGTTTATCATTTCATGAAATTAAATAATTTTTCTTTTCCCAATGTATTCAGGCCCATTCAGGATAGGTATGACACAGTAACCAAGAGCTTTGTGTTTTACAGTTTTATTTCATCAAATGCTTAATGTAGTTATTGTGTTGAGCAATATTTTAGATAGGTTCGTCCAAAATACTTGTCAGAAGGATATGCACCTGGGAATACCAGATGATGATGGCGTCATTATTTTTTGCCTTTGCGTGGTGCAGCAGTTAGGCTGCAGACTTATGATGCTAAAAACTGAGTTTTGATACCCATGCCCACACAACAAAATAGCTTATTGTGTAGTTGTGTTTAACTATAAATAGATAAATAAACAAATAGAAGGATTATGTATTTGTTATTTTTTAATTGAATTATAGATAGCTCAGAGTTTTAATTTAAGAGTTGTTGATCCAACATTTTGTACCATAGATGCTACGAGAGAGCAAGTCAAAACATGATCACTGGGGGCAGCCAGTGAAGCAACAAGGAAAGCAAACTGCATCTTATGACATCAAAGTTAAAGAAGCTAGTTCTGCTGAAGAAGATTATGTACCAGTTCCTGAATACCACCAATCTTTCAGTGATGCTTTCCAAGCTGCTTTGGATAGCATAAGCCAGCAGAATACTTCACATGGTAAAATATTTTGTAGTTGATTTGATGTCCTCAAGCTTATGGAGAGTTGCTTGCTTTCATTGTCATTTTGACACAAGTGTACTAAATTTGTGTATAGCTTTTTTTTTGTAATCTTAAGAGTTGTTTTTATGAATGTAAACTTAATATTCAATTAGATATTGGCTATATTATTAGGTTGCAAAAAACAGTACTACTTCAAACATGACACGTTACCTGGATTTAGATATTAGTGCTATTAATCCAACATTTTGAATAAAACAGACTTTTAATTTTGAAGTTATGAAATTTCTGTTAGTAAATTTAGATATTCTGATTAATTTATGCCACTTGTTAATAACAGTGTATTAGATACAAAATACAAGATTTCATGTATAAATTCCCCTCATATTTCAGTTTCCTTTCCCACATTTTGAACACCATATTTATTCATTTTTACAATAAATTTATTGGTATTTTTTTCAGACTATATTATATATAACTTAGTGTCTTGACTAATTGTTTCATATAATAATGGCAACCACCATTAATTTAAACACACAATAGTAAATGAAATCTGTGTAATAGTTACTTACATAGTGAAGTATTATATTATTAACTTAGTTACATTATTTTCTGTAAATTACTTGCATATTTGCCATTCAAGTCACTTCTTTAAGTCTTAATATTACTACAAGTTTTCTCATATCTTATTACTGCTTATATACTTCAGCTATTTCTTAGGGTTTAATTGTTTATTGCATCCAGATTCCTGATCTATAAGTTGATCATGTTTGTAGGGGATACTTACAATCAGATCTAGTTGTCTTAGAAGACCCATAATATTTGTAGTATATTTTTCTTTTATTATTAATTCTTATTTTTCACCTTTGTCAACATTAGTGTTTTTGCAGTACTACCTGTAGCATCCTGCTCCCCGGTATCTATAGCTAAAGAGTAGTAACTTAGATTTTGAAAGCTACTCCAAAGGGTTGGAGCTGTTTAACCCTTTCGAGACTGGTCACGGGTGAAAGGCCATGTCATCTTGTTTGTTGACACACATTCAAAATTGTATTGAACTACTATTTCATGAATTTATGTCAGTAAGTTTGGTATCAAACTGTACATTATAATTCAAGTTTTAGTACTATATATTACTCAATTTCTTAAAAGCAAATGTTAAAAAATACAGATAAACATTTTTGTGTGTCACGTGGTATGTTGAATGCAGCACTGGTTCAAATTAGATGTTTGTGAAGCCAGAATACTAAGTCTATAGTTTCAATCATTAGAAACTCAAATTACTGATATTGACAAGCTAGAATATAAATTAGCCTTTTATCTTTTCAACTTGCTAAGATATTGCTCATATAATAAATCAAGCACAGTGGCACCCCGCCCATCTCTTTCCATTTTTTTTAAATGCTTCCTTACATACACTTACTTCTATATATGACATGAATAACCAATTGGAAGCTCAGAATGTCCCCCTAGTGGCTTTCTCAGCCATTATAATCTACTTGGTGCCATTTCTTTCTTTTGAACCAATATTTCAACGAGGTAGGGTGTGACTTTAGTCTGCTCGAAATTTTATATATTTTTAGACTAAAATACATCTTAGTTACTAAGCTTAATAAATTATAGTGAAATTCTATGGTATTAATGTAGTAATTTGATTTTTTAGTTATTCAAATATATATATATAGAAAACCTAATAAAAAAATTTTTTTTTGTTTCATATCCTC